GGGGTGTCCTTAAAAGTCCAAAGAAGGAGACGCCAAGTAGGGCAGAGAGGAGGGCGAGCTACAAGGAGCGAACGACTGAGGAGAGAAAGCCAGGAGCAACTTCACAGATTGATAAACAGAAGATGACACACCGGCCCCTACGTTTGTTTTTGGTCCTCGGCTCGCGGCTGCGCATGTGTTTGAGTGTGCAGCGGCGGGCGGGTGTAGAGCACAGAGGGTGCTCACTGGTACTTTAATCCCAAAGTAAAGGGATCTGGATAAGGACATCGAGTTCAGCTCTGCCTGAAGGATTTATACAATGTGAGATTTTGTTCTTTCTACAAATACTTCGGATCCAGCACCAACATCAGAAAGCATCAGAGGTGATTCTGCATGCTCATCCTCTTAAGGGCAACTCTGAAGATCAAATGCAAACGACAGCTGTCCCTCAAAGTCTGGTTGCAGGATTCTCATTTCCCCTTCACAGTGTGCAGAACACAAAAGCCAACACACTGGGGTTACTCTGCCTCTGCTTTGGTTCTGTTGAGGTGACGGCTTCTGATGAGGACAGTCTAATCCTGCAGACACTCTGAGCACCAGTACTTACAGTACATTATCTTCTATTCATACACAGAGGATGTGCCTGTCAATATCATCCAGGGATGAAGGCCCTGATTTTTTTCCCCTGGTCTCTTGATGATGCAAAGTGACGTCAAATATTCTTTGAGGGAGCCATTATCTCGCTTCTATACCTGCATTGTAATTTCCCCTGTTTTCTAATGTCAGTTGTGCCCCGAAGGCGACTTTCTGCCTCGCACAGTTCACAGCAGAGTGACGAACATCTTTGTGCCAAGTTAACAAAAGAAGGACCTGCAACAAAAGAAAGACCTTGAGGCAGCGTTTCTCCAGCTCTTTACAGCAGTTAAAGATGGATGGTGGAGTGACAGCACTTTTCTTTTTCCACTGCAGCTTCATCTCCCCCTGCACGCTTTCCTCTGCATATCAGAAGTGCCCCAAACATCCAAAGATATCAAAAGAACTAAAGTCAGCGATTTTTTTTTTTTTATAAAAAAGAGAGAATCGTCAAAAAATTTAAACAGTTTTCTCAATTGCATGTGTGAAACAATGCTGTACTGTATCCACAGCGTACAGGAACTGCGAGTGGGCGTTAAGAAGACAAAAGTTGGCAATGACTTTTCCTCTGATGTTGGTGGATGAAAACACAGAGGATTATTCCACTTCAGCATGAAGCGCATTGTGCGTTTTCTCTGAGCAAGAAAGGAGAAGAATGAAAAGGATTGAGGGCGTGCAAAAAAGCTGCCCATTACAGCACAAGTCTGCAGTTTTTAATCTCACATACTCCACTTAATCTTCCATGCTGAGCTGCACTCTTTGTGATTTAAATTAAAAACAGGCTTGTAGAAAGGAAACAATCAGTTTGAAGCCCTGGACCAGAAGGAAAAGACAGCAGTGAGTGGATAAATGTGAACCTGAATAAAGATAAAGCATCACAAAGATGACCTGTTATTCTAAAAGGGCGGCTTTTTTCCCCAGTCGTCCAAAATCCCCAAATTAAAGTCCAGTTCACCTTCTCGTCTTACCTAACAGACATGGCTAGGACGGTCACTGGACGCTATG